GATGCAGCTCGTCATGAACTGCTCCAGCTTGGGTCCTTCCCACGGGATGCAGTCCTTGAGGAACAGGCTGCTCCAGCGTGGGTCCCCCACGGAGTGACAAGCCCTGCCAGCAAACCTGCTCAGGCATGGGCTCCTCTCTCTGCATGGGTCTGCAGGTCCTGGCAGGACCCTGCTCCAGCTCAGGCTCCTCACGGGGTCACAGCCTCCTTCAGGCATCCACCTGCTCTGACGTGGGGTCCTTTCCATGGGCTACAGGTGGAGATCTGCTCCACTGTGGACCTCCATGGACTGCAGGGGTGGAATCTGTCTCACCGTGGTCTTCAGCACAAGTTGCAAGGGAAGGCTCTCTGCTCTGACATTTTGGGCACCTCCTTCCCCTTGCTTCTTCACTGACCTTGGTGTCTACAGAGTTGTTTCGCTCACATCATCACTCCTCTCTCTTCACTGCCATTGCACGACTGAGTTTTTTCTTCCCCTTCTTAAATGTGTTATCACAGAGATGCTACCACTGTCGCTGATTGGCTTTGCCTTGGCCGGCGGCTCCGTCTCAGAGCCAGCTAGCACTGGCTTTATCAGACATGGGGGAGGCTTCTCACAGCTTCTCATATAAGACACCCCTATAGCCCCCCTGCTACCAAAACCTTGAGATGTAACCCTATAACATAATGACAGAGGATATTTGATCAGTCAGTCTGAAGAAGCAAGTAGCAAAAATCTAGCTCTTTTTATTCTTGCTCTTAAGGAGATTTGTGGTACTGTTGGATTACTTCCAGAGTCTCCTTGGATTTTAAATAAAGAGTTAATATGGTTGTTTCCAGTGTAAATTATTCATGTTCATACAATGCTCTTTAGAGGTCTCTTATCTACACTTGAGACAAGAATTTAAGGGACGTCCATGTGACTGAGTTATGTCAGAACATACAGAACACTGATAAGTGTAGGCAGAAGTCAAGCTAACACACAGATCCATCATACACATAGAGTACACAAGCTTCATGTATTCTCTGAGCACAAGCAGGGAACTCCACACAACAGAGTCCAGTTGCCCCAGAGTGGCTGCTGCATGCCTGAGAACTCCAGATGGGTGAAAGACAGTGGGTCTTGCTAATAGTTTATTACTTCTTTAATGCTATGCATCACTCTGGTAGCTCTGGGCCTGGTTTCTGAGTCTCCCAGTGAACAGGAACATGAAAGACAGACAATCTTTTTCATCAAATTCTTCTGTTCTTTACTCTCTGACCTTCTTGAACTCTCTTTGACCAGGATATTTGGAAGCCTGGCTTCGTCTGTCAATAAACATTATGGGATTAAAGTAGTTTGAGGGATTATTCTTTTCTTCCTTCACTCCCTCCTTGAATGCGTTGTGCTGGGAACATAGTGTCCCAGAAAAAATAAAGGAGTGTCTCAAACCAAATATGTCTATCCAAATATATCCTAATGTATCTAACCAAAATATGATGTGAAATACACATAAATTGTCCTGTACTAGTCTTCTTGCAACTTTTTATCTGAACTTTATGCAGATAATATTCTGCTTGTATCTTTTCAGCATGTCCTAAATTATACCACGGAAATCCTGAATCAATCATACATAATGATTACCTTCTCATAAACATTCTCAGCCACCTCAGCTCTTGATGTGTTCTTCTTTACTACACTTGGTTTACTTTCTCTAGGCTAGAAGGGACTTTTGCTTTAAGAACAATGCTCCTGTAGACAAGTCGAACAGATTTTTACAGGAACACAGTGTACATGCAGTATAAAGTAGTGTGCCAGACAAAAATAGACTCTAAATTGGGAAGCATTTGTGGCCATTGTTCATTTTCCTCGCATAAAGGGGGAACATTCAATGACATATTGCACCCTCTGTGCAATATGCAAGTTTCCTATGAACTCAGAGAAAACCAGCATGGGATCGGTATTTGGAAATCAGATCACGCTGGCTTGAACAAGGTTTTAAGTAAATGCTTAGGTTCGGGCATGCAGACAAAATCTCTCTGGACCCAAGCACGTGCTCACAATGCTTTGCTGAATCATGTTCACAATGAAATGAAGAGAGTCTATTCCTCTTTTTCCTGCTCTGCTGGAGAAGGTTGAGAGAACGTATTCTAAGAGAATAGCTGTTCAGTGGAAAATTAATTAATGTTTATACTTGCTAATATTTCAGGCTTCTACATAACAATTTCCTGTGATTTGTGAAAACTTGTAAGCAAATCAAGGTGTCACCGAAAATCCGGGAATAAAACCTCGTAACACCAATGTAGTGTTAAAAGGCAGGCATTCTTTATTGCAGCGCTGGATGCATGGGGGATAATTCCACCAAGCGTGCATACCCCATACCCTTTTCGTGCAGTTTATATAGATCAAAATATACATATTCATCTGATTACATAAGCCCTTCCTTTCATAGTCAAATCAGTCCATTTTCATACACTCCTCCCACCCGCACTTGCGCAGTGCCTCCTAGTGGTGGTCATCGGGGGTCCCAAGATGAAGGCTTATCCTCTTCATCACAGTTTCTGCGCAAACTCAGTCCTCTTCTGGCTCTTGTCCCTGCGGCATGGGTCGTCTTGACCAGTTCTAGGCACCTGCTGGTTTTAATTAAAACTACCTTCTTTGGGGGGGAGATGTATGACTTTTTGCTTCAGTTAATTCACACAATAGATAGGTAACACAAATACACCTGCAACCATTTGGTAACGCTATTTCTATTAAAAATCCCCTTCACCATTATTGTTTAACATTAATGATTACCTAGGGACTAAACCCTCTGTTCCCAGACTTAATGTCCAGATGGGCAGGGCTGTACAAGGGACGTAGCAGCATTGTTCGTGTTTTATGATTAACTAATTCCATCACCTTGGTTACAAAGGTATTTCATCTCTGGAACACAGAATGTAGAATAACCTTTGATTTTTTAATATTTAAAAAAAAATTACTTAAACTTTTATTTCTTCATTTCCACCATAGTACTTAGGGAACAATGCTCAGTTGACAGTCAGATTGACCACTAAATCGCTGGTTGAACAGAAAATAGGTTTGCCATGTTACTTTGTATTCTTTTTGAGTGAAAAATAGTCAGTTACGTCTGTGGGAAGGAATATGTTTTGTCTTTGCAGTTTTACTTTCCCTGACAAGTTTCAAAGACAGTCAATTTGGTGCAGTTCCAACCGAAATGCTTGAACTCCAAGGGGTTTTCTTAGCAGAGTCCTTTTTTTTTCTACTCTAACATGGGGAACAAAGTACTGAAGTAATCTGCAGATTTTAAGAGTGGGCACTGAAACTCAGTATTTTGAGATCAAAATATGAGGCTTGAGATTTTTAATAAGAGCTCTTCCAGAGTGTACTGCAAGAGTGTACTGCAAGACTCATTCAGGGGGAGATTGCAAGCAGCCTCACAGTCACAGGCACTGGTTTTCATGGGGGACTTCAACCACCCTGACATCAGCTGGGAAGACCATACAGCTACGCAGGCGCAATCCAGGAGGTTCCTACAGAGCATCGATGGTAATTTTCTGATGCAAGTGGTGGAGGAACCAACAAGGAAAGGCGCGCTGCTGGACCTTGTATTAACAAACAAGGAGGGACTGGTGGAGGATGTGAAGGTCGGAGGTAGACTCGGCTGCAGTGACCATGAAATTGTCGAGTTTAGGATCCTGCGTGGAGGAAGCAGGGCGATAAGCAGGATCAAAACCCTGGACCTCAGGAGGGCTGAATTTGCCCTCTTCAAGGAGCTACTGGGAGGAATCCCGTGGGCCAGGGCTCTCGAAGGCAGGGGGGTCCATGAGTGCTGGTCACTCTTTAAACAACACTTCTTCCATGCACAGGAGCAATGCATCCCCCTGAGAAAGAAATTTAGCAAAGGAGGAAGGAGACCTGCATGGTTAAACAAGGAGCTTCTAGCGGAGATCAGGCAGAAGAGAAAGGTCCATGGAATGTGGAAAGAGGGACAGGCCACTTGGGAAGAGTACAGAAACGTGGTGAGAGCATGCAGGGATGCGACGAGGAAGGCCAAGGCCCACCTGGAATTGAAGCTGGCAAGGGATGTCAAAAACAACAAGAAGGGCTTCTTCAACTACATCAGCAGCAAAAGGAAGGCTAGGGACAATGTGTGGCCACTGCTGAATGAGGCGGGTGTCCTGGTGACGGAGGATGCGGAGAAGGCAGAGCTAATGAATGCCTTCTTTCCTTCAGTCTTCAGTGCTAAGACTGGCCCTCAGGAATCCCAGGCCCCGGAGGTAAGAGAAGAAGCATACAAAGAGGACGACTTTCCCTTGGTCAAGGAGGACTGTGTGAGGGATCGCTTAAGCGATCTGGATGTCCACAAATCCATGGGCCCCGATGGAATGCACCCACGAGTGCTGAGGGAGCTGGCGGATGTCATTGCTGAGCCACTCTCCATCATCTTTGAGAGGTCCTGGAGGACAGGAGAGGTGCCCGAGGACTGGAGAAAGGCCAATGTCACTCCAATCTTCAAAAAGGGCAAGAAGGAGGACCCAGGGAACTACAGGCCACTAAGCCTCACCTCCGTCCCGGGAAAGGTGATGGAGCAGCTTATCCTGGAGGCCATCATCAAGCAAGTGGAAGAAAAGAAGGTTATCAGGAGTAGTCAGCATGGATTCACCAAGGGGAAATCATGCCTGACCAATCTAACAGTTTTCTACGATGGCATGACTGGCTGGGTAGACCCAGAGCTGCACCATTTTCATTGTATTCATATAAAACACATATCCACATATAGCAACAAAAAACATTAATGATGTATAAAAAGCTATCATTCTGAGTCTAGTTGGAGGCTGGTGACAAGTGGTGTCCCTCAGGGGTCAGTACTGGGCCCAGTCTTGTTTAACTTCTTCATCAACGACCTGGATGAAGAGTTAGAATGTACCCTCAGCAAGTTTGCTGACGACACCAAACTGGGAGGTGTGGTAGATACACCAGAAGGCTGTGCTGCCATTCAGCGTGACCTGGATAGGCTGGGGAGGTGGGCAGAGAGGAACCTGATGAGGTTCAACAAGGGCAAGTGCAGGGTCCTGCACCTGGGGAGGAACAACCTCATGCACCAGTACAGGCTTGGGGTGGACCTGCTGGAGAGCAGCTCTGCGGAGAGGGGCCTGGGTGTCCTGGTGGACGACAGGTTAACTATGAGCCAGCAGTGTGCCCTGGCTGCCAAGAAGGCCAATGGGATCCTGGGGTGCATCAAGAAGAGTGTGGCCAGCAGGACGAGGGAGGATCTCCTTCCCCTCTACACTGCCCTGGTGAGGCCTCATCTGGAGTACTGTGTCCAGTTCTGGGCTCCCCAGTTCAAGAAAGATGAAGAGCTCAGCGGAGGGCTACGAGGATGGTGAGGGGACTGGAGCATCTCCACTACGAGGAGAGGTTGAGGGAACTGGGCTTGTTCAGCCTGAAGAAGAGAAGGCTGCGAGGGGACCTTATAAATGCCTACAAATATCTGCAGGGTGGGTGTCAGGAGGATGGGGCCAAGCTCTTTTCAGTGGTGCCCAGTGACAGGACAAGGGGCAATGGGCACAAACTGAGGCACAGGAAGTTCCGTCTGAACATGAGGAAGAACTTCTTCCTTCTGAGGGTGACGGAGCCCTGGCCCAGGCTGCCCAGGGAGGATGTGGAGTCTCCTTCTCTGGAGATATTCAAGACCCGCCTGGGCAAGGTCTTCTACAGCCTGCTGTAGGTGACCCTGCTTCGGCAGGAGGGTTGGACTAGATGACCCACAGAGGTCCCTTCCAATCCCTACTATTCTGTGATTCTGTGATTTCCAATCCCTACTATTCTGTGATTCTGTGATTCTGTGATTCTGTGATTCTGTGATTCTGGCTGAGGGGAAAACACCTCTTCCTGACACATGTTCCTGGCCTGACCTTGGACATGCCTCACCACCCCACACCCACCTTGTGGCCCAGACTCTGGGCTGACTCAACTGCCCTCAGTCCATGTCCATCATTGGTGTTCGGAAGTAGCCATCCATCTTTATTACATCAGGCCATCACTCTTTGACAGACCTTGCTGCAAAGGAGATTGTGGCCATTTCCAAGTCTGTAAAGCACCGTGCAAAATGTGCCATTAAGACTGGGGAAACACTTTTCTCTGTCTACAACCTCTTTTTTGTTTCTGTGCATCTCCATTACTGAGGCATTTACCTTTTTCTAATCTCTCTCCTCCCCATGCTCCTGGCTTTTGATACAGGTCAAACAAATGATATCAGCACTATCATGCCGCTGGGTTTGCTGATGACAGACCCCATGCCCTGCCCTTACTTTTCTGTCTCCCTCACCTGATTTTTATGCCTGCTACTGGCTGTGCTCCTCAGCTCCATGGGTAATCTGACAGCACCAAGGGGAGGCAATATGCCTATTTAAGCTTTTTTTGAAAACTGGAGAAAGTGAAGTGCTTATAACTTTATCCACTCATCTGAGTTCGGACACTTGCTGCAAAACAAACAGCTGGTGTCAGAGCTAAAAATAACTGCACTTTTCTAAATAGGCACGTGCCATCTTGACATTATTCATTTGTGTGGTGTATTACATTTTGTCTGAGAGATAACAACCTTTATTAAGATACAATGGCAGTAAGGTGGTCTCATTTATCATTCTTTTTTTTTTTTTTTTTTAAAAAAGCCACTATACAGAGGCTTTGTTATTCTTTAGCCAACAAATATGTATATATAAAAAAGTGCATACACATACATACATATATATAGACCCACAAATACATATGACGTTCCAATAAACAACACAGTTTTCATATTATCAAACAATGTCCTGGGTTAAAAAAAGAGGATAGCTTTACAAAATTCTCCAGCTTCACCCTCAGTAGTAACTTAAAATCAGTGTGACTTCATAGCCTTCACAGAGACTTGTGAGAGGTGAGGTGCTTGCTCCTCTGCTTGCATGAGCTCGGAGATGGCATGGAGACGGCTGGAAGTATTAAACTGAGCAAACAGTGCTCCCAGCTGAGAGAAAATGTGAGGGGAGGGAGGATGGGAGAATGCAAAATGGAAGGTGTTCTGTCTCTCTTTACTGCCACTTGTACTGAGGAAGATAAGGAAACTGAGAAGATCAAAACAAATAGACCCAGTCCTGAAAGGTACTCAGCATCTTAACTTCACCAAAATCATTATGACCTGTATATCACCTCACTTTAACAGAACTGGGATTCATCCTCTCCTGTGTCAGAGCAGAAGCTTCTCCCACTGCAGTTCATTTCTGGGTCTGTTCCTGGGGTGATGGGAGTCTTGTCTGGTCATCATGAGCTATTACAATGCAAGTCATGTGGGCATGAGGGGGATAGTGCTAGTGACAGGATCTATCCCAGCAATA